ACACATCTTAGGAAAGTACCGCTTGTCCTTTGTGCTGCCTTGGCGACCCCAGAATGAGACTCAACGAGGGCCGCCACGGTACCGGACTATCTTAAGTACAGGGTTTAGCTTGACCGGCACATCGCCACAAAGGCCAGACAGCCGGGCCAGGCCCCGATCCCATCAACCTGAAAACCCCCGTGCTGCCGAAGCGCTGCATCATAAGCTTGGCCGATCTTGTTGGCGACCTATTAAGGGAAGTGGGCAGCTAGGGCTGGTCAGGTCATATTCAATGTCTTCTGCAAAACGAGCCTTCCCACCTAGAACTCGAGAAGAGCCGCAGACCCTGGAATCCAACGCCTACAACCTGCAACCCAAAACCTATACGCCCCAGCTGTTTTTGCACCTGTTAGCCACTCCGGCCCTGTAGTCCCAACAAAAACTCTTCTTGAAATCCTGCTCGGGTAAGGCAGGCTTGCAGCACCTATTCCCTGCTCTGAGCATGCATGTCAGGTGGCTGCCAAGCTGAGTGCGGAGTCTCCACCTTCGCTTCACAGTCTGGCACTCTGCCCAGAAACTTTCAATAAAAACAACCTTCGAAACGATCGCGCCAGCTACTCATCACCAGGTTCGTGGCGCCCAACTGCTTCGTACGAAGATTCTTGCTTCCAACTGTTGGGGCCGTATGGCTCGGTGTAGAGCTGGCGTGGCAAGGGTACACAAGCGTTGACTGCCACCGTAACAACACTGCTCCGAGCCCCACGCCGTCCATGGTGCCAGTAACCTGACGATTTCATGCTTTGTGTTTGGGCATCTTGTCTGCGAAAAGCAGAGTGTGGCTGAAGACAAGCCAGAGCCTGCAAATGTCCTAAGCCCTGGAACATCCTGAACCCTAGAAAAAATCAAGATATCAAGCATATGAGGCCTTGATGCTTGGAATGTGGTTTAGGGGTGTGTTTTGTTGAGCACTCGCTCTCGACAAGCAGGGGTGCATTATAGTATCATGATGTGGGAATTACAAGGCGATGCTATCCGCGCAAGGACCCGCCCTAAGGTGGTGCCACGCGCCAGCACCCCAACTAGACGCTCGATGATGCGTTATGAAAGGCAACGCCAATCACCAAAGGGCACCGCGACCACTAGTCCAATTCCACAGTGTACACTCTGCACCGGCCGGTTTCCATGACAGTGACATTTGCAGGAACTTGAACGGCAAAACCATCAGAATCCAAGCAGAAAGGACAAAAACCGATGTGGACGCCATGTTGACAGTACACCCAGCAACAGCATAGAACGTGAAACTCCATGTAGACGCCATGTAGACCACAAGTAGATGCCCTGTGGACAACGCCCAGCCAATAACAGCACAAAGCACGACAATGCTAGATGCTCATTTGATGCAGCGCAAACACGCAGGCAAGGTGTTGTCACTGCAGTCTTTCCTGTCGCTAAATGTATGCTGATCAATATCGGTATGGTGGGTTTCTTAACTTTAGGAAGAAGTTAGCTTCTGCAGCCATTCCCCAAGTGCACGCGCCCTGTGGACGCCTTTTGTTAGGCCTTGACGCCTCAGGGCAACATCCCAGTACTTGTCCAGACCTTTATAGTGGGTCCCTCAACCCTTCTGCATCCATACCCCAAGCCTCAACCCCTAAGACATGGGCAGCGCTCTAAATAAGGTCCCGTTTGAGGAACCCATACAAAGGACCCCAAACGGGACTTTAATTTCTTAGAGGACTGCCTGCATGAAGAAGTAATTGAAATAATAATCCAGGACCCTAAACCCTAAACCCCTACACCCTAAACCCTAAACCCTCAACCCTAAACCCTTACACCCTAAACCCCTACAGCCCTAAGCCCTGTCCTACTGAGATCCCCGCGTTGAACCCCGAGAGCTTCAAGGCTCGGCTCAGCTCCGCCACCGAGATATCCCCCGTCCTGCTATGAGGGCGTTCAACAGGGGTCTAGGGTTTAGGCTCTCACAACTCGGACATGAGGGGTCTAGGGTTTAGGGTTTAGGGTGTAGGGGTTTAGGGTTTAGGGTTTAGGGTTTCGACTCTCACACTCGCAGGCGTAGGCAAGGCTCCTCATGGTTCGATCTCCGCTGATAGAACAGGGTTAAGGGTTTAGGGAGGGATTCTACAAGGTCTCTCACAGGGTTCTATAAGAGCTTTAAAATGGTTCTATAAGGGCATATGGGCTCTGTAAGGGTAACAGTAGGGCCAATTTTTGCCTCCCACAGTAGGGCCAATAAGGCTCAGGGTTTTGATAATTGTGTTCCTTCTCCGTTGCGCATATTGAGTTGGTGCTTAAGTATTTCCCGACAGTTACATACCCTTGAAAGCAAAGTTAGAACAAAGCCCTTTGCATCTATCACTCCGTCATGGGACGAACTTTGTGCTTTTCCAGCAGAACAGATTTGAATTCAGATTAATTCGGAAGTTCGGCTACGCGCCATTGAACAAGATACCAAAGGCTCGTGAGGCCAATGGAGAGAGTGGGTAAAAAAAAGATAATTGTGTTTTTTCTGTAGATGTCCTAGGGTGCTCGTGCCGAGCGACTCTGTGAAACCCTCACTTGTCTTGTTTCAGGAGGGTGTTTTGGCTTTAAAATTGGAGGAGGGTAGTTTTACAAGGTTGCGCATTTCCAGCTTCTAGCCGTGGTGGATCTCGTGCCTTAGACTCAGAAGAACATGTCTTGGAGCAAACCTCCCGAGCGTGCAAAACTTTGTCATAAACAGTCTGTTTCTTGGTCGCTTCTGGAAATCTGCCCCCATGCTCTCTTCGCAGCCGGGTTGAGGGAAGAGCTAGAGCATGCATCAAACAGCTGCCAAACAAGTTGCAAAGACAAGACCCTTTGAATGCCCAAGACTTGGCAGTGCTGGAGGCTCGCAGAAGAAACCTTGAACCACTGCTTCAGGCTTCAGTATTTAGGATCGTGCTGAAAGTGTCGCCTGAGACACCTACGATAAGCCACCCGTCCGGCCTGTCAGTGTCAATCTGGCCGAAGATCGTCTTCACGCTTTCCAGATACTGGCCCCACACACACACACATACACACGCACGCACACACACACACACTCCGACACAACAGGCAAGAAAATGATTACCAAGCATCGGGCTGCAGCTACAGCACATGGGCCTCGACACTGAGGGATCTCAAATTCTGAAACCGCTGACCAAAACTCAGACATGTCCACCTCAAACCGGTACCTCGTGGCCTTCCCCTCAAAACACTACTGAGGTGCTCCACATCAAGATGGCAAAAGGCAACTGCAGGATGGCCTGCAGCATTTCCTCAGATCAGCTTCGGCAAAGGGGATGGAGGATGGCAGCAGGGGGCTGTACGTTTGTTTTGCCACAGAACCGAACGAAAGCAACCACTCCTTCGGGGCCGTCGCATGCTGCCTGAGTGAGATTTTTCATCCGAACCCATTCAACCTCAAGACCAGCGTGCCACGAATCCATGCCACCCCACACAAAAGCCAAACCTGATGATCCAGTAACTGTGTAACGGTTGACGCAGCTCACACCGAAACCGAAAACAAGCTGGAAGGGCCGCAAGAAATAAGGATAATGAATAGAGCCCCTCCTTCTTTGAGGCCGAAAGGCGCAGAACTCCTGAAGCCGAATCTGGCCTCCTCCCTGGCCCGCGTATTTCGCAGCAAGCCAAAGCACCTAGACTGCCAGGGGGTTTAGCGGTTTCGGGTTTACGGTTGAGGGGTTCAGCACACTCGCACAATCCAGGCGAGGCATGTCAGGGTTTCACACCAGCTAGCGGAGTCGACAATGCAAAGGGCTAGCTCATGTTTCTGCTTGGACTCAGGACCCTAGACTCGCAGGCACTCTAGATGCTCTATACAAGGCACTGCATATCAGGGTTCCTAGCATTCAACATGGCTTCATCAATCAAAGTCCAAAAGACAGGGGATTTTCACAAGGGTTTATGGTTTAGGGGTTATAGGGGTTTAGGCCCTAAACCTAAAAGCCCTAAACCTTACACCCTAAACTACACACCCGAAACACCCTAACCCCGAAGGGAGGGGAAGCTCGAACTCGCCGAAGTCGTTGTCTTCTTCACCTGGCATGGTAGTTTCCATCCACTCTCACACTCGCACAAGGCAGGCAAGGCTCCACACAATTCCATAGTAGTTTCGTTTTTAGGGCTTCGACTGGCAGACTCGCTCGAAGCAGGCACGGATTCCAGCAAGCGAAACCAAGCAACATGGGCGACCAGAATACAGCAAACACCGAGCAAAACATGTGGGAACTTAACACCATAAACACACCCGAGAGTGCTCGCGTCACCCATAATACGAAAGGGCCTCTGGATGTATATGGAAAAACCACTCAACTACCGAAGAGATGGAAGTACAGCAGAATTGGCCCCGACCTGTTTCAAGACAGTCTCCTATCTCCACCAAAGATTGACATCGAACTACCAGCTCTCTCAGAAAGGCTTCGTAGGGCCATGACGTGAGTGGACTCATCCGCAATTCACGA